GGATATCTTGGAATTCAAGGGAGATACGAGATACTTTTTGTGGAGAAAAGTGAGAGCTATAAAAAAGGTCTCAACGAAAATTTTTCAATTTCTCTTCAATTTTAAGATATTGAGGATTTAACATTTGTTTTGAGACTGGAAAATGACAACACCTTAGTTGAACAGCTTTGCCCCACCTCTCCTATGTGTTTTTCAAAAATAAACCTCTTTATTTTGAATTTTTCTAATCATTTGAACAGTATTTTTGTTAACATTATTATAAAGTAAATAATTCATTCATTGCAATTGAATCCTCAATTGGAATGAGGTGAACAATTTATTCAATCCAAATGGAGGATTTTTACATTCCAATAACTTTGTTTTCTGTTCTCTCAAAAATGATTTCAATTCTGACTAATAAAGTCATTGTTTGGATTGAATAAACATTTCTTTATGTTTAAAAAATTATTAATTGGATGCGAATGAAAAAGAAAGTGAAAATCAAATTTAAGTTTGAATAATTACATTTATAGAAAAACTCGGTGAATTAGCTAGAAAATTCTATTAATTGTATTATTACAGGGTCTAGGATGTAATAGAACCGAAGAATTTGGAACTCCAGTGAGTTCAGGAAGCAATATGGGAAGTGTAGCGAGGTTTCCGAAACTCGATGAGTGCGCCCACTTCCATTACGAGCACGTTGAGCTCGATGGACTCCAGGTGTCTGTCACAGAAGTGCCAAACGACGGAGGCTTCGCAGTTCGTGTCACCTCGGGTGACACCTGCTGGACCCTCCAAAGATCCTACGAAAATTTCGTAATGTTCGATAAACAGCTGCATCGCTGCATATTCGATAGAAAATTCTCGTCACTGGTGAAACTCCCTGAGACGCAGACGGATAATACCCCTGAATTGATTACCACTTATCTCGAAAGATTTTCACAATTGAATCACGAAGGTCTCAATTGTGGCCCAGTTTTAAATTGGCTGCAACTCGACAATCGAGGAAGGAGAATTCTTGTTCCTGAGTCTGACTCGTGCCCTATCAATACACCAGCGGTTGCTGCGGCCTATGCTGTGAGACCGTATGCTGCACAGGCACAGGATGAGATCACTTTTCAGGTATTGTTCGATTATAGGAATTTCCATCTTTGAGGAGGATATCCAAGCATTTTTTATTTTTAAAGAAATTGATTAATTTTTCAAAAAATTAATTTGAAAAAATGATGAATATTCAGCGTCCCTCACAGTAATATTTCGCACAGAATTATTATTTTTTCAAACATTCGTTTTTCATAAATAAATAATGGAAATTGGTTAAACTTTTGGAAACCTTGTTTTTTTAGGCATGAAATCGATTTCCTGATCAATTTATGAATATTATGTATTTATTGATAAAATAATTCAGAAATAATTCCAACTTATCATTATGGATATCTAATAACTTGTACAATAAACGGCATAAATGATCTGTTTCATTGGATTGCATTTCACAACTCCATTCTCCAGAGCATTAAAAAAAATTATTCATTCATAACATTGAAAATATTGCTCGTTCCCACTAGGTCGGTGACATGATATCAGTAATTGACATGCCACCCCCCGGTGAGAGCACCTGGTGGCGAGGTAAGAAGGGCTTCGCGGTGGGCTTCTTTCCAGCCGAGTGCGTTGCTGTAATTGGTGACAAAGTACCTCGTCACCTGACCGTCTCCACGACTGTTCGATCGAGATTGCCGGTGAAGCCAGTGCTGAGGAAGCACGGCAAGCTCATAGCATTCTTTCGATCCTTCATTCTAAATCGTCCGTCGCGCAGACGACTCAAACAGTCTGGTATTCTCAAAGAGAGAGTCTTCGGTTGTGATCTTGGCGAGCACTTGTTAAACTCTGGACAAGATGTGCCCGCTGTATTGACCTGCTGTGCGGAATTCATAGAGACTCACGGTCTCGTCGATGGAATCTATCGTCTGAGTGGTGTAACGTCCAATATCCAAAGACTGCGTCATGCATTCGACGAGGACAGGGTCCCAGCTCTGCACTCGGACGAGAGTATTCTTCAGGATATTCATTCTGTTGCTTCTCTCCTCAAGATGTATTTCAGAGAATTGCCCAATCCACTCTGCACCTACCAGCTTTATTCCACTTTTGTCAGTGCTGTTCAAGCTGGCACTGATGCTGAGAGACTGAGGAGAATGAGGGACGCTGTTAGGAAGTTGCCACCTCCGCACTACAGAACCCTGGAGTACCTAATGCGTCACCTGGTGCGTGTGGCAGCTCGTGGAGGTGAGACAGGGATGACCCCCCGAAACGTAGCAATAGTCTGGGCCCCAAACCTCCTGCGCTGCAAGGAGCTAGAGGTGGGCGGAGTGGCAGCCCTCCAGGGTGTCGGTGTCCAGGCAGTAGTGACCGAGTTCCTCGTCTGCTACGCCGAGTTGATTTTCAGTGAGGGCCCAGTGGGTCGTCCCAAGTCCCTGGCCATAACCACTCCCGCAAGACTCCTGAGCCTCGAGGAGGCGCGAAACAGAAATCATCGAACCGAGTCCGACTACATCGAAGTGGGCGCTGGCTCAGCAGGTCTCCCTCTGCATTACCACACAGTCATTGATCTCCCCAGGAAGCGCAACAACAGCTCGAAACGATCGCCCTCACTGAACTGGCGGGCAATATTCGGAAGAGGAGGATTCGGCGTCAGAGGAAAAACGAGACAAGTGAGGACTCCTCCACAGTCTGAGACAGTCCCAAGTTCCCTGAATTCATTGAGACGACTGAGACCAGTGAAAAGTGCTGATAGTCTCGATGGCGAGGACAGTCTGTGTCCCCTGATGATACCCCCAGCTAACAGACCATGTGGCCACAGCAGATCGGTCTCTCACGACTCTTACTTCGATCACCTCGCAGACGCACCGGCCGGCTCTGCATCGCCCCTGGACCTCTCAGAGATTCAACTCAACTTTGATCTGGAGGAACGTGAGATGCGAATGTTCTCGGAGGAGGAGAGCATAGTGCCATCGCTGGAGGCGTCTCCAAGGCGTCAACGAAACGACCCACCACCCTGTATATCAGTGACTGGGGGGTCAAAACGTAAACGTTCACGACTGGAAGAACGTCTCCACTGTGATGTGGAACTGAGGTTCATTGACAGCCAGAGTCCAGACCAGATAATGGTGGCTGCTGATGTGCATGGCATGGAGACACCCTCACCTCTGATAACCCCTGGCTACCTGCCACTGCTGTCTGAAGCCTCAACACCCATCAGTCCTGGCCAGACACTTCAGCCAACTCCCATTGCAATATCACCTGGTACGTCCAACAGTCCCAGTCCCAGTCCCAGGATCAGCTTTCGAAGCTTCACCCTGCCTCTTGATTTTGACGAGCCCTGTGGGGATGAGGCGGAGAAGAGAGCCGATGCCAAGTTATCTGGGGACACTAGTCAATGTAGCATTAGGACGGATAATATTAATGTTAGGAATACTCTGACAATAACGTGTGGAGGCCCTGATCAGGATCGAGAGATGTCTTGTGATAATTTTGACTGCATTGGGGAGAGTGAGCTGCCGGGGGTGTCTGCCATGAATCTTCAGGAGGGTGAAGGTTAATATTTTCAGGATTACGTTACGAGACTTTTTTTTACTTCTTTTTTATGCAATATTATTAATTTTCTATTGAAAAATTGAAAAATTTCCCAACTTTTCAAAATCAACAACCAAACTCAAAACTTGAAATTACAAATAATTATATTTATAATATAATACAATCCTTTAAATTCTCTTGAATTCAGATCTCCAAAAGCAAGCCTCTGAGGAAGACCCCGAAGAAGAAGAAGAAGAAGAAGAAGAAGAAGAAGAAGAAAGAGAAGACGAAAAATCCTTATGCACGAGTCGTGACTCTTTCCCCCCAAGTCAGGGTTTGACGTCAGTGGGGCCCTCAATGCCTCAGCGAAACGAACCAACAGCGAGTACCCTCCCCTCGTCGAGTGCCACCGACCTCGACTCTCCAATGTCCTGTGAGCAGACCCTCGAGGACCTCCCCGACTCTGGCTTCGTAATCTGCGACAGCTCCGACAAGATGTTCACAAACACTGACACCCAGCCCCTGGAAACCAACACCAATAATTCAGGTGAATGGGTGATGATAGAGAGAACAACAGAATCAGTGACAACACCAACAGGCAGTGATCCCCTCGAGGGAACAGTAGCAGCAATAGCCATAGACCCACCACGACAGCGATCAGTGTCCGACAACATCTCCAGGACATCCCTGGACTTGACAATGTGTTCGACAGTGGCAACAGACACGTCCTGCGTGGGTCGAAGTGAGATGACAGAGAGTCCGCTTCTCCACGAGCCTCAGGACGACATCTCCTATGACATGACTGAGTGCAAGGAGCCTGTCTGCATGTGCCAACTGACTAACGAGAGCAAGGATAATGCCGAGAGCCAAGCCCTCCAAGAGGAGGACAAGTACAAAGATCAGAAGAATGGGAACGACAGACCCCAGTGCGACAGCTACAATCGACGTCTCGACAATGACAACACGTATTGCAACAACCTGAATGATTCCAGTGGGAAGAATCCTGAGGTCAGCCTTGACGAGAATAACCACGAGAGCAGCCCCTTCAAGCAGCAGGGAGTGTCCAAAGGGTATGGATGAATTTTCGTTTGACTGTTCTCACTACAATTCTAAATAGTATATTTATAAAGAGGATTTTCGATTAATCAAATAATCCCCAATCTTCCTAAATAAATTATCGATTGATAAAATAATTCGGAATTTGAATATTAAACTATTAAAAAATACGCTGGGGATTTTTAAAAGTTAATTTGTCAATTAAAAAAATGGAATCTCTCATTGTTAGAAATTTCTTTCAAGTGGTGTTGATAACAAATTTGTTTTCTCAAAAAACAAAAAAGGTTATTCCCGGAATGACCCTTCCCTTAAATTTCTGGAAATTTAATTTAATATTAAATTCCTACAGATATTTACAAAAAACCCTGAAGAGAAACATAAACATGAGGAGTTCACCCATGCAGATGAGTGAGGAGGTTGTTATTCCCTCTGAGAATGCTGCAGAGGCCTGTGATATTGCTCACGATCCAGAGGGTGCCTCTGAGATAACCTCACGCGACTCCTCGTGCACATTCTCCAACACTTCCTCCCCGATTGATGAGTCAGTGGTGCTGAGAGACACAGCAGCTATTCTCCAGGAGTTGGCACTGCAGAGGCTGTCAGGAGGCGTTGGCAGTGAAACCCCCATTCAGAAGGAGAAGTACGAGGTGGGAGTGATGCGCCATCAGTCCAGTTATCACTCTGACGTGGGGAGGGAGGGTATCAGGGAGAGAAGAATGAGGTACGAGGAGTCCTCCAGGGGAAAGTCCGACGAGACCACCAGTAATAATCAGTATCTGCCTCCTTGCTTGAGGGCTAGGCATGCTCGTGCCACCAGGGCTGCTCTCAGTCGCTCTCTGGACGAGGGAAAGTTCAACAGAATGACTGAAGAGTCTTCTAGGGTCAAACAGGTGTTTGATAGAGCCGATTATCAGCACAATTCTACTCCAAATGTGGGCGGTGATCTTTCCATGTCTTCCTCGCAGAGCAATGAGAAACTCCAGCTGAAAAATCTTGGACTGGATCTGGGAGATCCCAGGTGCAGGGAGAGAATCGAGAAGTACAAGGAGGAGAGGAGGATTTTCCTCAGGGATAAATACAGGAGCGAGAGCTTCAGGGGGGCTTCGAGAGATGAGACTGGGGAACAGGCGCTACTTGCTAGGCTCAAACAACGGGCTTCCAGACCCTCTTTACATTGACTTCGTTGAGGTGATAGATCTTTGAAATTTTTTTTTTTTTTTTTTTTTTT